ACATACATAAATAAGTTAAACTAACCTGAAGTTCAAACATAACCCAAGATGTATGCCAAGCTACAAGCCTAGTCCAAACATAAACTTTTAAATTGACTTCTTCTCTGTTACATTTTGTATTTTTTTTTATCTGTACCATTTATCTAAGCCTTCTTAAAGCTGGCTGGCTACTCAAACCTTTAATATAAAACCACTTAGAGCAAACATCTCAGTGACATACAATTTCTCTCAATGTTGCTGTGTTAATAGAAGTCTCCTATTTTACAATGAAAAACTTAGAAGGTGTAATCTACTACAGCAATATGTCAGAAAGTGTTGCAAATAGAGCTCGTTCCAAACCAGGTTTTGCTCTCCAAATTCTATAAAATGCTTTAAACCAGTACTTTTAAATATGTTAAGTTTTCCCATAACAGTAATTTTGGGAAAGAGGTGGTGCTTCCTCATTATAATAGTGTATAGCTGTGGGTTTACATATTCTGGTAGGGTTCAACTGTTGTATACTACACTAACACATTTTTTCCCCTACTTTAATCCATGATTTATCAAGATGTCAGTAATGAGAATCAAATAAAAATTGGCATTAATGTAATATATCTAAGTCAATTCCCCTGAATCAATCTGCACATGAATTTCAGGGGAGGTGGGAGCTAACCTAATCACTAAGTTTTCAGCTTCCTTTGCAATGTTGTGTGAATGCAGTGTGTGTAGCAGCGGAATTCCTGGTTAGATGTGAAAATGAAAAGCGAACACAAATGTTTTGGAAAATAAATTCCCCACAATTCATTGAGTAGCAGCCTGTCAAGTTCTGCAGAAAATACAGGGGAGGAACAAAAATAACATACAAAATGAAGATCCTACCTTCACTGCTTTTTGTTTGTTATTTAACCATCGTTCTTCGTTTATATCAGTGTGTGACTAGTCAACATCTTTTAGTCTCTTATGTTACTATTCAGTTGAAATAGTGATCTTTCACAATGATAAGTAAGTTAAGAATGTGAAGATAGAAGGAAAAATAAGATAAAATAAGCACTAGTATAAGCCTATTATTAATATATGTCTAATATAAGCCCATAAGCCTATAAAGTATGTCAGATACAGTTAGTTCACAGCAAAGAAAAAGAGTGAATGAGCTCATATTCCAATGTGTACAATTAGTCATTTTTCAAGCACACTACACTTAACAAAACTCAATCTTTTATTTTCAAATGTTAAGAATTAAATTTGACTTCTGACTTTGCTGCTGAATTATTTCTTCATGGAAGAAATAATTCACAGATCTTTGGTTCTTTGAGATTCAGCTCAGGTGTCTGGCATTAATTGAGAAGTTCTGGTACTTTGATAGCTATGGGTAGTTCACATTTCACATTGACAGAGAATGTGATGTTCATCTTGACGTTTTAAACTGTCTAGTTAAGTCAACTAGACTTTCTCAACACTTACTTAGATTGGCACTTCTGGAAGGTGATTTTTCCCTTTTGCATTAGTTAGCTTTGTTAAAATGGGTTCAGCCATGCCCTGGAAGTACCTACCTATTTTACCTTGTTTCCCTCTTCTTATCAGGTTTTTTTGAACCTCAGCTTTACATGTGTGCTCTAGTTAAGCAACCAGCCATCAAATAAACTGTGTAAGGAGCCTACCTTGTGTTTCTCCTCTCTTCCTTGGTATAGTACCAAGAAAAAACCAACCAAAAAACAACCCCCCACCCTCCACAATATTATAAAATATAGTAGGTAGACCACAATGCTTTAAAACAAAATATAGCTGAATTTTTTACTCATTAAAATCTCCAAACACAGAAGAATCCTTTTAGTCCATTAAACACATAAAATTCTACAGAAATTAATTCTTATGTTCTGACTATTCAAAATACTGCTGATGTTAATACAATAAGATACATACCTATGCTTACGAGGTCATAAAAGGGAATAAATTATAATACAGAGCCATGGTATTCTAGTAAGACTCTTGTTTGAGAATATTTTAATAGTAAAAGGAGCAAAAATATTAATTCTTGACAGAGTTTCTAATAGAAAATGTTATTGTTTTTTATATTTTTCTTTTCAGTAGAATCTTAGAAAACACCAGAAAATATTGGGCTGTTATTTTCCATCCAGTGTACCAGGTTTATCTTTGGTTATTTTGGGTTTCCCCCCTCCTTTTAACCTAAGATTTATCTAGAAATAAGATATTTCCACTTGTCTTCCACTCTTCTACATTCAGGTAGAAATTCAGTTATTTAGTAATTTATCAATTTTTTTTTTCTTCATAAGATGAATGGTAAAACTGAGTACATATAATTCTTATATATGCAGTATAAGGTCACTGTTAATTAAGATACTTTTCTGTAAATGGAGACTTACATGTCTTAAAAATATTTAACATCTTTACAGTAGTATAAAACTTAATCTATAAACGTATTTGCAATAAGTTACGATAGTCTGCTTTCTCAGAAAATGTTTTTAGTGTGAAGCTTAGATTCCAAAACACAGAGTAGAGAACTGCAAATTTCCCTGTTCTTCTGTTTTACTGGTTTCTTTGAAACTTGACTTTTTCCACAATTAAGTTCTCTTCCATGTTTTCTTTTTTTTTTTTTAATCCATTCATTTATATCTTATTCTTGGTGCTTTCCTCTCTAAGTGTTTTCTTCCATAAACAAATGCTTAATAAAGAAATGATGTATGCAAATGGAATAATATCTATATTTTAAATCTTTGCTGCATATTAAGACCAAGGAAAACAAGTGAGTCTAAGATATGTCAGTAGGATTTTCCAGGAACTAGAACAAAATCTCAGTCTTCAAAACCAAAAGAGAAGCTTCTCAGTTTTACTGTCTTTTCATATATGTTCCTTGGAACTGCTTTATATTTTGTATTCTTTTTGCTTTACATTTCTTTAACCAATGCTAATTTCTTTTTTCTGGACTGAGTTCTGTCACAGGTAACCTTGTTTTGGACACAGTCTTAGAAAAGAATAATACGATTTCAAGAATTATGAATGTGATAAAGAAAGGTTGCCTAGAGCAATATAATATAATTTTCACATTGTATTTACTTTCCAAGTTTGAGCATTGTTTTATGAAAACAAACCATGTATGCAACACAATTCTTTTACAATTTATCTTTGAAAATTTGGGAAAATTACTCAAATCAACATTTTTCTTTCAACCTTATTAATCTAAGTTTTTATTACCATATATATTTTCCATTTTCATTGTACATTATCCACTGTGAGAATTATCTGACTCAGAACTAGTGTCTGCTAATTAAATTACTGCCGTTACTGACTTCAAGGGCCTTCCTACAACAGAAACGCATAGCTGTAGTTTATTTACAGGCAGAAAATTTGAGTGCCCATTGCCAGTGAAGGAGGACTTCTGCTCATATCTTTCTGTGTAAACAGGAAGTTGAGTACATTATCATTCCTTAATGGGATAGGACAAAAACAGTACTAAGAAACAGAGTAGTTAAATAAGCCTGTGGCAAATAAGAGCTCCTCCACAGTGATGAATTCTATACTAATTTCCATCTACTGTAAACATGTGTGTTACAAGCCCGAAGTTTATGAATAATGGCTTCATTTTGAAGTAATTAGAATTCTATGCCATTAACAGCAGGAAGTCTGGATAATTATGTTTTAGAATTAAATGTCTGGGAAAAGACATTTCTGTCTCTATGACGATTATGTTTATGATTAATGATAGAAATGACAACATGCAATATAAATACAAAACAGCAAAAATTAACTGTATCTATCATGGATGACAGTATGAAAACTACAGTGTACAAGTAATCATAGGTAAAAAAAATCTTGATAATCTTGTTTTGTTTCATATTGGAACATCCTCATTTCTTTCCCTTATTTTTGATATGTAAGACTTCCAGCTGCATCGTACCAGACTGTCAGCATGAAATACTAGAGATGATTAGGTGTATAATGAAATTACCTTTTGTAGGCAAGTCATTGTTTTGTGGGTGTGCTAGAGCTTATCTTGGTGGGGTCAGGAGTGTCATTCAAACACAGCTGTAGAACAACACAACTAATTTTGTTTTATTAGCACAATAGATATTAGAGTCAAGTCTCTTTTCTCTGAGCTAATATCTTAGGTAATATAACAATCTTTACAAAGTAGGTGAAACTACTTTTGGAGTTGACCTGAATTTGCTTATAGACACCTCCACACTTCCAGGTCTAGGAAGAACATTTACTCATTTATTGCTTCATGTAAACTGTTTCTGTTCCCAAGAAGCACCATGCCTTTGTGTCTGAACTAAAACAACCTCTACCAGCTGGTGACTTTGTAGTATTGCAGTAGGGAGTCTCCTGAGTTGCATCATGAGGAGCCTGACAGAAGGTTAGCAGGACTGGAGCCATGCTGTAACTTATAAATCACATCAGATCAGGCACAACTGAAAAATTCCATCCTTGAAAAAAATCCATCTCATAGAGAACTGTAGACCATGTCACAGGAACAGAAGAGCAGTCACATTCCAGATGAGTCATTTGTGCACTGCTCTCTCCTCCTCCTGCCACACCTATAGATAATTAAGCTGGAGACAGAGGTCACTTTTTTCCCTCCTGTTTATACCTTCACTGACGGTGTGGGGTATTTGCATACAAGGGTGGGTGCTGGAGTGGGTCTCTTCAGCTGACTTCATCAGTGTAATGAAAGCTAAACTGACTAACAGAGGGTATTGTAAGTGGGGGAAACTGACAACCTCATCCATGAGAAATGGGAAGTTTTAAAACAGAAGTTTTAAAATGTCTGAAGATATTTTTTTTCAATCATTTTTCAGTTTTACACCACAACAGACCTTCTCAAAATAGAGGTTCTTGGCAGGACATTTTTGTTGAATTTCACTTAACAGTAAAGTTTCCTATTGGTATTCATCATCTTAACATACTCCATTGATTTTATTTTTCTTTGGTTGACTGATGCCTTCCATTTGTGACTTCACAGGCAGTGACTTCACTGGGTACTCTGTGTCATGAAACAGTTGTAACTCTGATATAGCTGATTCCTCTTGCAGCGGTAGGTTTGCTGGTTTATTTTATTTGTTGAAGACTTTACTGAAAGACATTGTCTATCTCTCCTTGTGTTGTGCTCTTTTCTCAATAAACCAATCTATTATCACTTAGGCATCGCTCTGCTAGATCTGTATAGTTTGATAGTTTCTGAATACTTACATGCTTATGGAAGCAAGGGCATATCATTGCACAGTGCCTAAGAGTGAAAAACGAGATTAAATTTTTAAAATTCTCTTCTTTCTTGTGGAATTTATTAATAAAATTTTCTTCAGAATTTTTGAAAAATGTTTTTCAGTCAAATTCAATCAAGAAGATTGCGTTGTACAGAGCTGTCTTCTGAGGTACCTTGGGTGTCCTTATCATGGTAGGTCCAGTCTTTTACCTTACTCTTTATAACTCTCCCTTTCCCTGAGATTCCTGGATTCTCTGATTCACCATCTTCTTGCAAAGATCTCAGTTCCTTCTTGTGCCCTCTCACTGCCCTCCGAGCAAGTGGCAACATGCGCTGTGGCAGTATACAGCTGATTATCTGACAGGCCGCTCAAGCAGCATCAATGGCCATTACATTTGTATTGCAATTTGGAAATCATACTGTCAGTAAATACAGCAGCCATTAATTTTCTGTTCTTGAGGACTCTCAGTTGCAAATTTTTATGAAAATCATGAAAAGTTACTATCTTTGGTGCCTCAATCTCTTTGCGAATGTGGCCACGATCAGTCAGCTTTTGAGCTGGGGAATCAGCATATGATAGAAGGGCATGTGAACTATGAAAATAAATTAAAAGTATTATGCACATGGGCTTAAGTCTGCACTTATAATTTCTAACACTGTAGGGAGTGGCTCCAATTTCAACTGAGCCTTTTGTTTCTGAAAAAAATACTAAGGAGATGGATTGCACGAATGAAAAGAGTAAGCCCTCCTAGGCAATCAGAAAAAGCCTGCCATTCGGTGAAGGTTCCTTTGTTCTGAAGATGTTCAATAAACAACGAATAGCCTTAAGTGCCTACACTGCAACTGGGCACTGTAATAGGAAATAACTATTCATGAACATTTGGTAATTATTTTCTCTATAAGAGTCCTGGCTTGTTCAGGTTATCAGTCGTAACACTTTTTGTAGTACCTATCACTCTAAGATCTCTGTATTCAGCTAGCTAGGAATATATTCTTTGCCTGTGGGGTTTCTCTTCAATAATATATTGAAAAATGGCTGCACCTGCCATGATTACTCACATTCTGTTATGCAAGAATGAATACAGGTTTCTGCTATTTGCCTTGAAAGTCTTTGTACTTGCCACTGAGATGCAGAAACAATGTTGTCTTTACTTTGCAAGCAGTACTGCCCCATTGTGCTTCAATTAAGCTTATTAGCAATAAAATAAAGAAACAGTTTGATGCCTAATGAGGTCATGTCCAAGAACCCAAACAAATAAGTTGCTTAAAAAAAATCTTTAAAGACAACTAGTACTTCTTGCTTAAAAAAAAAAAAAAACAAAACCAAAAGCCCAAAAAGTAACCAAACCAAAAAACCCAAAGCCAGTCTCCCCACTCCCCTTTTTTTTTTTTTTAAGTAGTTTTTCCAAAAACCAGGATTCTGACTGACATAAAAGGTGATGATGGGGGGTGGGGGGCAGGTCAAGCTTCAGATCTGAAGATGTACCAGACAGACAAAAGATCATCTCAAAGCCAAATTATGTACTCTTGCTGTCAGAGAAAAAGTAAATCTACATGGCCATAGATATTACCTGCTGGAAATCCGTGTGAGACTGAAATGAATTCTGCTTGTGATATCTTTATTAGTAAGAATTTCTGCTAAGAGTTACTATTTCATACACACTAAATGATGCAACTGGTTTATAGAGTATCCTAGTGAATGCAATTGATTTTTTTTCTAATTAACTGTTTTAGCAATTACTGAGCTTGTTTTAAATATATGCTACACTAAATAATTCTTTTGTGCTAATTTTGTTTGTTTAAGCAGTATATTCAAAAAAACTGTTAACTTTTGGGTTGATTGCGCAGCTTTTGACCTACATACATCTACATATACAGTTAAACGAGAAAGACTATACTTAGGACTAACAAATGCAGAATTAATCATTATAATAGAAAGGAAAAATAAGGAATGCAACCTATGTTTATACTCACATCCCTTAATCACTGCTCTTTCTTAATAATTAGCTTCAGTGGAATTCTAGATGTTCAGTACATAAATAGTCACCAGAACACCAATTTTTATGCAAAGATCTCACAATACAAGATGTAATTACTTCCTGTTAATATTGTGAAAATTTTCTAGATTTTCAGGTTTCTAGCAAAATCATTGTGTTTGCAGTTTTATTTATGTTTTCTGGTGATGACCTGCATGTGACTGACAGTTGACCTGAAAACATATCTCCCAGAATTGAGGGGAAGAGAATGTTAAAACAAAACATGACAAAATCATAAAAAGGCAAAGGTAAATCTAAACTTTCAGCAAATCAATATCACTATGAGGTATTTTATTAACACAAGAAATCCTTTACAATTATAAGAACTTTAGAGAAAATACTGTCTTAATAAATTTATTGTACCTTGAAATAAAGATTGTGTAAACATTGAGGAGAAAGATCAAGTCCGAAAATCACACCATCAAGACAAGAAAGTAATCTTGCAGCCTACACAAGAGTTTAAATTTTCACAGTTCAATTTTGGCCCAATGCCTGCATGCAATCCTGCTTCACTTCGGATTTTCACATTAAAATCTGTAGCTTGCTGTCATGTAAAAATAGGACAAAAATTCCTTGCCACAGTTTCATATACATACTGTATATTTTAATACTCACTTTGGAGATGTTTGTTCCTTGGGGTACATCACCAAAACACTTTTAAGCTAATGTAGTTTAATACAGAGTCAATAATTAAAAAAAAAAAGTGATCTAGTAGAAACAATAGGTATATGGTCTTAGAAAAGTATTTTTGTTATACTTATACAATAGTGTAAAAATGCAGTGAGAATATATAATAGGGACCTTGTGACAATTCACACAATCACAGAATCACAGAATGCATTGTTGGAAGGGACCCACATGGGTTGTCGAGCCCTGCACAGGACTATCCCCAAGAGTCACACCATGTCCCTGAGAGAGTTGTCCAAGCATTTCTTACACTCTGTCAGACTTGGTGCTGGGGAGCCTGTTCCAGTGCCTAACCACCCGTGTGGGTGAAGAACCTTTTTCTAATATTCAACCTAAACCTCCCCCAACAGAGCTTTATGCCATTCCCTCACATCCTATCACTGGTCCACAGAGAGAAGATATCAATGTCTGCACCCTCTCTTCCCCTCTTCCCCTCATGAGGAAGTTGCAGACTGCGATGATGTCTCCTCTCAGTCTCCTCTTCTCCAGACTGAACAGACCAAGTGACCTCAGACACTCCTTATACATCTTCCCCTCAAGGCCCTTCACCATCTTCATTTCCCTCCTTTGAATGATCTCTAAGAACTTAATAATTTTCCCATACTGTGGTTACCAAAACTGCACACAATATTCAAACTCAGGCCGCACCAGTGTAGAGTATTAAAAATATTCTCAAATAAATGTAAACATTTCAAGTACTACCTTTTGAAGAATTTTATGTGCAAGGGAAGGAGAAAGTATTTTTAGAATGTATGATGATATTTAGAAGAATTCTATTGCTAGAAAATATGGGCTTGCTATGGAAATTATAGATGAGTTCTATCCTCAGATTCATGGCTTTTGCCAAAAGCTAGAACTGTTTATACATTACCAAGTACATGACTGACATTCATTTTTAAAAATTCAATGTCTCTACGTGCATATGACAGTGCATATTATATTTTATGTGTATGCATATATTTATATATATATATATACAGGTGTATATATTTGTATTCAATCTGTGTAAATGTGTAAAAAGTATCAAAATGCAAACGAAAATGTGCTGACATTATTCTGCAGTGAATTTAATTGTATCTATTCCTGGTAATTTTATGTGACTTGTATCCTACATCTAATCTTTCTGTAATTCTCTCTATCCCCAAATTGGTCTACTTTTGTCACATTCATGCCCTTTGTGAACTACTTAACACATCATTTAAATATTCTCTCGTTTACTATTATTTAATTTTAGCTTACTTATCAATTTCAAAATTGTTATGACATTTCTCTCTTTGATTGTTCAATGTATTGATACCTTTTTCCTTCCTGTTTTCAGGTAAACATCTTAGTGCAGTACCAAATGCTCCCTTCTCTCAGACTTTGAAGATTCTTTCCTTGTATAAATAGAAACTTCCCTATTATTCTCCCTTTTTTTCCTGATTATCTTTTTGTATCAGTTTGACCTGGCTTTCTTGCCAAATCCAAGCTGTCCCCTCCTCCCCCGCTCTTTCAAGTGAGGAAAAAAAAACCAAACCACAGAAAAACCAAAAGAAGCCTGAACGAAACGGGATTATATTAAAAATATATATTTACATGTATTTACAATTATATATACAATTTGAATATATTGTACACATAATAGGGAACTCCCAAGGGGAAAAAAGGGAAAAGGGAGGGGGAAAACAGGGATAAAAAAAACTAAAACAGATATCCTCCAGATATACACCGTTAATTGAGAGCTAGTGAATAAATAAGAAAAAACTAATTAAATACTTCCCTGAATGAGACAGCAGAACCGTGCAAAGCACCAACCAACTCCCCACACCTCCTGGAGGGACTGGAGATAATGGCAGGTGTAAACAGGCAGGCCTTGGCCCATACAAGCAAAGACTGTCTGTGGAGAGACCTGTCGTCCTGTCGTCTTCAGCCACCAGAAGAGAGAAGAGAGCGAGCTCTCTTATCTGTGCCTTATTTATATGTTGTGTTACGCTAAAGGATGATATGGAATACTTCATTAGATTTCTAACCCCCGTTGCTAAGGAAGGCCTAAAAAGTCCAAAAGCCAACCCACTACACTTTCTCTAAAAAATGCAGTGGTCAGATGCATCAACTGAGACCATAGCTTACTATGGTGACCAGAACTGTATCATTTCTATTTACATCTATGGGTCCTATCTCTTTTGTCTAAATGTTAATTTCCTGTCTTATGAGAACACAAGCAGGTTAAGGTGTGATAACTAGACTGTGGACTATAACATTTTCAGCATTTGCAAGAGCAAATCTTCTCATACAACTTTGTTCAGTTTCCTAAAGAACACTTGACATGCAATAGATCAGATTTTAAACTGTCCTACATATTCCCCACATAACACAGTGTTATGTACATTCTTCATGTAGTGACAACTGTGAATTTTTCAAGGTTTCAGCTTATGTTTGCTCAATGTTTTTCCATATGTGGCAAGAGCCTGGTCCAGTTGGGCCCTTGAATGGTACTGTCTACCAATGTCTAGAACAGCAATAACTAGTCCCACAGTCATTTAGGCTGTGTTAGCATGTTCATATATTAATGACCACTTTTAACCAGCAGTTTGGACAAGGCCATGTTGCTTAGAAGAAGGAGAGGTTAAAATGTAAGCAGTATCTAAGTTATAAAAATGTGTGTAACCTGTTTCCTTTCTTAATAAAAGTGTAACCTCCAATAATGCTGCAATACTAGTAAAAACTATGTAGGCTCAATACTCAACAATTTTATTTCTGTCTATATCCAAGTGTTGTGGTTTAACCCCAGCTGACAAAAAAGTCCCACACAGTGGCTCACTCAACCCCCTGGGTAGGATATGGAGAGAACTGGAAGAGAAATAGTGACAATACTCATGGATTGAGATAAAGACAGTTTAATGGGTAAAGCAAAAGCCAAATAAATGAGCAAAATAAAACAAGAAATTAATTCACCACTTCCCATCAGTAGGCAGGTATTCAATCATTGTCAGGAAAGCAAGGCTCCATCGAGCTTAACAACTACTTGGGAAGACAAATGGCATCATTCCAAAACTCTCCCCTTCCTTGCTTCCCCAGCTTTACATCCTGAGCCTAATGCTATGTGGTATGGAATGTCCTGTCTCAGCTGTGTCCCTTCCCAACTTCTTGTGCACCACTAGCCTCCTTGCTGGTGGTGTGGGATAAGAAGCAGAAATGAACTTGACGCAAATCACTGCCCAGAAAGAGCAAAAACATGCCTGTGTTATCGACACTCTTTTCAGCACAAACCCAAAACACAGCCCACTGCTAACTACTGTGAAGAAAATTAACTCAACCCCAGCCAAAACCATCACACAGTTACTCGTTTATCCCATAACTTTCAAATCCAAAAGGAAAAGAAGTTTAGAGGAGGACTGAGAAGACTGTTAATTTGAAAGAAAATGAGAATATTAGGATATTAATTCTGGAATGACCTGTAGCAGTCAGTTCATAATCTACACTTAAACATGATAATTAACATTATCATTTGTAATCAATCCTTGAACAACAAGGCGTTCTAACTTCTGCCGAACCTCCTCACAGTAAGAGGGGAGGGAGGGAAGGGGGGGAAGGACTAGAGGGAATGGAAACAGAATCTGATGAACTACACAGAATCTATAATAAAAAGTATTATGACTGTAACTTAGGGAGAAAAAAGAAAGGTACAAATGGCAAGAATGAATGGCAAGTATGAATGGAAAGTGAATATTGTGATCCTAGCATATGCCATCAATAGCTGACTTACAGGTAAATAATTGTATTTTGTCTTAGTTGAGTGCCAAGTCCTCCTTAGATAGCATTTGAGAGCCAAGTATATGATTGTTTTATGTAAATAATTTTATGTACATTTTAAGGTTATTTTCACAGGTGCTGCTTTCCACTAGACAGTCCCTTATCATCCCAGGGGTGCGGGCTTTTGAGGGAACAATAACTTGATATATGTTAAAAAAATCAATCAGCTCTCAAAAAAACATGTCCGTGGGTTACACTAACAGACTATAACTTAGTCTCCCATGGCTAACTTAGACAGACTATATTGCATGACACATACCTGAACCACCTTACTGGCAGCTGGGAATCTCTCCACTCCAAAAGCTATTCATTCGCTCAGAAAATCACATGGCATCTCATGAGCTAAAAACATGTCTTTAGTGTGTCTTTAACCCGGGTTTCAAGTCCTGATGAGTGGCTGTTCAGGAAGCAAGGGACCTAATGTGGTCAGACTGTCTTGATTTTACCCTGAGTGACCTCAAGGAGAGGAAACCAATATGAAAAAGCTCTTCTGAACCTGCCTAGGCCTGGGGAGAGCTGCCCACTTGTCTTACTAGCATAAAGATCAGGTGCATCTGGAGAGTACTGTCTGTGGAAAATATTCTGCTTCTATTCCTGAGATTCTGCTTGCAAATTTGTTGCCTTCATGGAAAATAAGGCTAGGCCTAAAGCAGCTACAGAGTGCCCTCTAAGAGACTGTATGAGGATCTTTCAGTGCCATGATGAATCTCCTGCTGTAAACCTATTACTGCTCATACAGTAACTCTGTGTCTTCAAAATGTCAAAAAAACAGTTTGAAACATGGTGAATTTGCCTTCTCCAAGAAAAAAACCCAAACATATGGATTGATATCTCTCTGTATTAACAGAGATTTGCTCTAATTAGTTAATTCTCAAAAAGTTCAATGACTGCCAGATGAGCAAAGTAAAAAATACTATATATTTTCTTGTTTTAAATTTTTGTGAAAGTCATTTGCTTTTTAGCTGGCTAATTTTTTCAGATAGCTCTTGCTTCCCAATTAATATTTGACCTCAGCTACTCTGAGCAAAAAATAGACTAAAAAAACATATCCAAAAACATGCTATGAGATTCCTCCCATTCTTCCAGTTTATATTGGCTTTCTCCCAGCCCTTTTTCTTATTTTCTTTCATTTTTCTGTCCTTACCCATTCCATACTTCCTTTCTGACTTTAATCTGGCATTCTTTCATACTCTAACTTTCCTCAGAACTGTCCACAGTCCATTATACATAATCAATCTACACAGGCCCACTTTTGTGTCCCCCAGCCCCCTAAACAATTTCGTTCCATTTTCATTTGTTTCTTGGCTGTTCTTTCAGGTTCCCTTCTTCCTCCAACAAAATCAATTCCACTGCTCCCCCTTCCTCTCTGCGTTCTGTGATTAAAAACAGTGTACTGTTATACAGGAAGAAAAATGGACAAGCGCACACACACACACATTCAGTCATAACAGAAGCCATAGGAAAGCTATGAATACTATGAAAGCTATGAAGTGGAAGTGCTCATGTTGGCCAAAATATTTGTTGTAAAAGAACATTCTGATTAACATACTTTAAAAAACACTTAAAAAATAATAGTGAAAGTAATCAATGCATGTCTCCACCCTGTGCTACCAGTGAGACAAAGGACAAGACAATCTGAAATACCTGAGGGTTGCTGAGTGTTCTCAGTATCCAAAACACTTATTGGTTTTAGTGAAAGTTCTTTTTCCTCAGCTGTGAAATTAAAAGGATATAATATTGTGCCATATATTGCCCTTCTCTTAGTATTGATATCATGTTTCCCATTTCAACATAGTACTTTGTCTTACGAACTTCCTGGGACTGCAGCTACTTGGTACCCTGTAAAATGGTATTTCAAATTGACAGAGGGATTAATGAATATTCGTAACCATTCAGCTATGATTCAGTTTGGATATCATGTGGCAGCTACTTGCTCTGTGGTTTTGTACAATAGAATGTCATCAGTTACAGAAACTTCTTGCACACACAAAGGGCATTTGTTGTAAATGAATTTAAATGTAAATTGTTGCAGAGTAAATTCTTTCTCTGCCTGCTACTTTTTCAATGCAGGACTGGAATACTCATGAATTGTACTAAAAAAAATTTTTTCCCAAGTAGTCATGGAGATGTTATTAAAATGAAGCATGCACATATTCATGATGAAAATGAGAACTCAGAAAAAATGTCTGGGACAATTTTCTGCAAAAAGAACTATTTCCAAAGTACCCATTCACAGATATATCAACCGCTCACCTCCTGAAATCATAATTTCTGCACCTCAGTGTCTATGTTGGCAAAGTGCACACCCTTTTCTATCCATGTACATATCAAACTATTTTAAAGATCAAAAAGTGACACAATCAATTCTTGTGTACAGAATTGTTCAAGCTATTGATTCCATCATTTTATATATATTATATATATTTGTACACACGTATATATGTACACACTACTTTAAGGCAACTGCATCACACAAAAAGATATCATCACAAATATTCACTCCTCTGAACTGTGCTCCAATGGAATATCTGTTTGTGCTCACACAGGGCACTCGAGACCTTTCTGTAGGAGCTGTATTGTAGTGATGGAGGAAAACACTCTGCTTTATTTGCAAGGACGGCCTTTCTCCTTCCATGAAAGCAAGTGCCTTTTCTAACATTCTGAAACACACAGCACGGTACAAAC